CAGTGGGCGCGCAGGCAGGCTAAAGACGCCATGCGTCAGCGGCTGATCTTGGATTCTAAGTGGCTGCAAAAGGCTACTACGCGAGTGCCATAAGGGCCACATTAAAAAGGATCTATTGCAGGCTGACTCTAAGTTCGCCAGTCAGCCACTCCAAACCAACTCACACTGGGCTGGCCGCGCGGCCCGAGTTGTCTCGTCAGTTGGTAATCTTCCAAGTCATGGTTTTTATCGCAGCGTGATAGCTTCAAGCGCGTCGGTTTTTTAGTGATGAAAATGCGCTGAGCCGTCGATCTCACTCTCTTCCCCATTCCCAGCATCAGACCACTATCCGAACCGGTCAGTTGTCTGACGCGAGACGGTTACTCCTAACACACAAGAGCATATCTCAGGCCATCCAATGAAGGTGACTGAAGTGGTCTGGGCCCGTTCACCATTGTCCAACTGACGGGCACTGTTCTACTGCCCTCTGCTCACCTGGTGCCATCTAAGAGGAGGTCAACTCAAGACATGAAAGCGGTTCTTGGAACTTCGGCAGTTAGCTCTCGTCCCCTCCGTGCCTACTGCACATACAGTACGGACGGATAGTCAGGCAAAATGCCGAACTTGGTAAAAGATTGATAACCACTAACAAATCGGAATTAGTTATTGTTATAATACTGATTATCGTGCAGCCTAGTCTCAAGTCATTTCAGTAATGCCAGGATGCCGGCTTCTTAACGAGCTTCGTTCTGAGCGTTTGCAAAAAGCACATACTATAAAAAATAGTTACTCAAGTAGTATACATTTTACTTATTGATTTTCACTGCCATATATAAATTCAAATATATTTTATAAAAACTGGGCACGAAAGTATTCGTTCTTCTACTCGTTTGCTAGAAAATCACGCCTCCTTCAAATTTTTTTACGAAAAGAAAGGAGATATTTCGGTTTTACAAAAAATTATAACTATGAGATGTCTTAATTACTGTGAAATGTTCATTCATAATACATCGTATCCGTCAATTTATTAATATTGCCTTTAGTGTACGCAGCATGATCCACATCTATTGCGAAATTATGTGAGAAGTATATGACCCCTTCCTCACACCGTAGAGAAGAAAGTACTTTTCCTTAGACGGGATTTACACAGCATGCCGTTTGAAAATCTCGGCTTCAAGGGTAACGGTCGGCAGGTTTCAAAATGATTCGGCAATTTAGGAGTTTTTTAAATCCAAGTTTAGCCTTTAAGCGGTCAGAAGGAAGCTCCTTATAAAGCCGGCATCCTAACGTGACCGAAATTACTTGAGAGTAGGCTGCACGATAATCAGTATTACAATCCTATTTAATGTCGGTTTTTTGAGAGAGCCTTTGTTTTGGTACTCTCGGGATTGCCCGAGTGATAAGTTGCGTCCGGGACGTCCCAACAAGAGGAGGTAATAATTTTGGCTCTTGAACATATTTGATGACTTACCACCCATACTATGTCTCAGCTCGCACGCCACCTTCAGTCTTCATCCCAATTGACTGATCAAAGTGCTGCTGCTGCCTTTCTCTTGCAGACTTTGGCCTCAGCACTCACCTTAGCAGACCGACAAAACGCGCAGTCTCGGCTTCCCGCAACCGGCTTTCTGCCTTCGCGTTTGCGGCCCTGGCGAAGACCAAGAAATCCCAATCAGCCGATGGACCAACCTTCAGACAGGAAGCACCGGTAGCCGGTAACGCACATAACCCAACAAAAGCTTTCTTTGAGGCCCTCTGTCTCACGCAGTGTGGTTCTCCGGCTTACACTGCGCCCGAAGTGCTGGGTCGGAAGCCCTACGGACAGCAAGCCGATGTGTGGAGTATGTGAGTGCCTACAGGCTGCAAGATTGGGCCTAAAAGCTTCCTGAAAGATTATGCACGTAGGCAGATGGTATTGCTGGAAAATGCAAGCGAAACTGGAATGGCCACTTCTGGCTTATCAGCCGTCATCAGCCAGTCATACTCAGACCCACGTGGTGCAGTACTGGAGGCTCGAACTCGTGAACTCTTTGATCAGAGTCCAACGCCTTAACCACTGAGCCACGAGCTCGTTGTGTTGCCGATTTAGATCGGGAAATTTTGACGCACTGATAGAAAAGGTCGCTAACTGAAATTTCAGCATAGCACAACAAAAGTATCCCAAAATACTGACAGCAATGTTGTTGCATCATTCAAACCCAGAAACTATATTTTTAGCTCAGTTTCATTAAGGGAACGATAGGCGAATGCTTTTGAGCTCCCTATTGATATCAAAGTGGCTATAAAATGCATCGATTACAGACGAAGAATTCAAAAAAGAGGTCGTTCACATAATT